GAGCCAGAGGCCCCAGCTAAGCTGCACAGACTTCTGACCAACAGACCCTGGGAGATAAAAATGTTGCTGTTTCAATACACTAAATTTTGGGGAAATTTGTAACACAGTAATAGATAACACAGTATCTTAAAATTTCAAGATAAATTTCAGGTAGACTAAAAAATTAAATTAAAAAAAATCACTTAAAAGCTACATGAAAACAAGCATTAAAAAATTACTTTCCATAATTCAAAGGGAAAGCAAAATGAGTTTTGACTTACAAAAGTTTCCTATAAGCCTGAAAAAACGTAATAAGTACCAGACTAGAAAAATCTTTGCAGCAAGTACAGCAAAGAATTTTACCATATGAAATTAAAACATGTTGCATGCAATTACATATGTATAAAATAAAGAACTAATATAAATTTCTCTAAAACTATAACGAAGGAATCAGTAAGAGTGCCTCTAGGGAGAGAAACTGGGGTAGCTGGGACAATTATATAAGGTAAACATTTTGCTGTATATACTCCTCTTTTACCTATTAACAAAATATTTTTAAAGTAATACTGGTATTAAAAATATTAATATGTAACACTTAAAAAACAGACATCAAGTATATTAACAAAACTTTAAGAGAAAATACTAATAGAAAAATGAATAAAACATAAACATCTTCCACAAAAGGAAAAAATATATAATTAATCACAAAGAAAAATTAACTCAAAATGGATCAGACCTAAATGTAAGTGCTAAAATTTAAAACTCCTAGACAAAAGCATATGCTCAGATCTTTGTAACCTGGGACTCAGCAATGGTTTCTTACATGTGACACCAAGTATAAGGAAAAATATAAGTATACTGGGCTTCATGGAAATTAAAACCTTTTCTGCTATAAACAATATCATTCAGAAAATGAAAAGACACCACAGAATGGGAAAAATATTTGCAAATCATGTATGTGATAAGGGAATTGTACCCAGCACACACGAACTCAACAACTCAATAAAAAGAAAAAGATAAATAACTCAGTTTAAAAATGGGCAAAGGATCTGAACAGACATTCTCCAAAGAAGATATACCAATGACCAGTACATACATTAAAAGGTGCTCAACATTATTAGTCTCATCAGGGAAATGCAATTCAAAACCACAATGAGCCCATTTCACACATACTGGGATAGCTAAAATAAATAAGACAGACAATAGCAAGTGTTGATGTGGATGTGAAGGAATTAAAAGCCTAACACACTGCTGGTGAGAATATAATGGTTCAGCCACTCTGAAAAATAGCCTGACAGTTACTCACTAAGGTAAACATAGTTTCCATATGACCCAGCAATTCCATTCCTAGATATATAAATCTAAGAGAAATGAAAACATATGTCCACATAAAACTTGAACACAAATGTTCAAAGTAGTATTATTCATAATAGCCACCAAATGAAGCAACCCAAATGTCTATCAACTGATGAATGGCTAAACAAAATGTAGTATAGTCATATAATAGAATATTATTCAGCCATAAAAAGGAATGAAGTAATGATACATGCTACAACATCTATGAACCCTAAAAGCATTATGCTAATTAATTTTCTGAGTCTGCAACATTTAAAGCCCAGGGTCTGAACCACAGGGTCTTTACTAAATTTCAACCACTCCATAAGATAACTTGAAATCTCCATTTTAAAAATGGGATAGTAGCAAATTACAAGTAAGCAGTTGGATATATGGCTTTCCAGTTCCAGAAAGAGCTGAGGTCATGGAATAGAATGAGATAACAGAAACATGTAGCTTAAAAAGAGAAGATGATGGAGTATCATACCAGCTTTTAAAGGAAAAGACCAGCCAAAGAAATATAAAGGGTCAGTTTGAGGAATGAAAAACAAACCAGGAGAAAGTAGTTATCAAAAAAGTCAAGAAAACAATTATAACAGATACACTTAAGAGAAATAGACTGGAATAGGAGTCTAAAAAACAATCATTTTTCTCTCATAACTGTGGTGAGGACAGAGCCAATTGTCAGGAGTTGAGCAATAAATGAGAGTTAAGGAAATAGAGGCAGTTTAGAATAAACTGCTTTTTAAGAGGAAAGGATTAAGTTGTTTTCTACTACTGTAGTTGTTTTAGAAACTTTGTCTACAGACTTTAAGCCTCAAGGGAAGAAGCTAGGGAAGGGGGAACACAGGACAATGGAGAAAATTACTTAATCAATATCCTACAGGACAAAGGGATAATTCAGATTGAGAGCTAGGTTGAAAAATTAGCCTTGGACAAGCCTCATTAAAACAAAACTATGTCAGTATGTAAATACAGTAATGCATTATTTACCTGCATCCTTGGGGAAGAGTTCCACATAACCAAATTTTCCAGAGATTTAAGCTTTTAAAAAAATTGTTATTTTATTTTAGCTATTTTCTTTTAAATTGCTCACCACTGTATAATACAGTTCTCTGCCTCCCTAAACAGAATATACTTTCCTGGATGACTTAAAGTCATTGTGAGTGATTACTGTACTAGGAAGTAATATAGCTGAGTCTGCATGTTATTTTTTTAAATCTTTGACTGTCCTACATTGTCAGTTGCCATTTCCTCTGTACATTTCCCAATAACCTTTTTCATTTGTGCTTCAAATAGACTCATTTGAAAATTATATAACCATTAAATAAGATCCTAAGGGATAACACGATTCTGAATCAAAGTACAGGAGTAAAGTGCATGGCATTATGACAATTCTCCCCAGTGCTAAGAAACCTGTCTCATGTTTCAATTCAATTGAGACTGGGCTTCAAAGAGTTGAGGATGTCAGAAAACTGACCTCTGTCTACATGGAATATTACTTTATCTTGTTTCCTTAAATCAGATCAACATACCCCTGCCAAGTAATTGGTAATTTTATGTGGTTAAACTTTTTATTGAAATATAGCTTACATACAACATTATATTGATTTCAGATGAACAATTTAGTAATTATGTGGTTAATCTTAAACCACACACTGAAATGCATCATGCTGATTCCAAAGGTGAGGCTAGATATATCACAGCAGCTAAAATATACTCTCCTGTCCTACAGGCATTTACCAATGAAGTTATAATCTTCTATATTTTGTTTCTGTATATTAATATAGTCATGCAAGAATCTAATCCCTTTCAAATTTCACACTAATTTCACAACTACAAATAGCACAAGGGCTAAAAAGGACTAGAGTCAGGAACACAGGCAGTAGTTAACCAAAATTTAAGAGTTCATTCCTTTAGTTCAAATACCACAATAGATAACAATTTCATTTATTCTTAAGATTCTGGACGATCCAGCAATTCCATGTTTGGGTATTTATCCAAAGGAAACAAAAATATGAACTCAGATAGATATATACACCCCTATATTCACTGCAGCATTATTTATAAGAGCTCCAAGACATAGAAACAACCTAAGGGTCCACTGACAGATGAAGATGTGGTACACACACACTCACACACGGAATATTATTCAGTCATTAAAAAGGTGAAAATCTTGTCATTTGTGACAATATGAATGGACCTTGAGGGCATTATATTAAGTGAAATAAATCAGTCAGACAGAGAAAGACAAACACTCTAACTTATGTGTGGAATCTAAAAAACAACCAACCAAACTCATAGATACAGAGAATATAGGCTGGTGGCTGCCAGAGCTGGAGAACTGGGGAGGTGGGGGATGAAATGGATGAAGGTGGTCAAAAGGAACAAACGTCCAGTTATAACATAAGTCCTGGGGATGTAATGTATGGCATGGTGTATAGTTAATAATACTGCATTGTATTCTTGAAAGTTGCTAAGAGAGCAGATCTTAAAACTTTACCGCAATTTAAAAAATTGCAACTAGAACTATATATGGTGTTGGATGCACACTACACTTACTGGAGTGACCATTTTGTAATGCACACAAATATGAAATCATCATTGTTCACACCTGAACATAATATAGCTGACACTTGAAAGGGTTTGACTTGCACAGCTTCACTGATATGTGGAGTTTTTAAATAAATATCTTGGAAAATTTTTGGAGATTTGTGACAACTTGAAAAAAAACATTTTCTTTTCTCTAGCTTACTTTACTGTAAGAATACAGTATATAACACATATATAAAATATGCATTAATCAACTGTTTATGTTACTGATAAGGCTTCCGGTCAATGGTAGGCTATTAATAGTTAAGTTTTTAGGAAGTCAAAAGGTATAGGCAGAATTTTCAACTGCATGGGGGTCAGAACCCTGCACTGTTCAAGGGTTAACTGTATAATGTCATGTCCAATATATTGCAATTTTTAAAAAATTTCTGGTTATATCCCCTTACATATTACGTATCAAAAACAAAACTACCTTTGCTTCTCCAGATCTCCCTGTTCCTTAAGCTTTTCATTCATATTAGTGAAAATTAACGAATGTACACTTTCTCATCTAGACAGAGCGGGAGTGGCCTGATCAACTCAAACCAAAACGTCTCCAGGCTCACTGGTTTAGAGTATGAGAGGCACCAGCATCTGTACCTTGATGCCCTTGTATTCAAATGATTTATGTACATCTCCCCTTCTAAGTTACAAAAGACATGAGGGCAAAAATCTTTCCTCAATTATTCCATTCAATCCCTGACAAATACGTTTTAAGAACCTACTATCTGCTAACCTGTGGACACAGGTGAGTTGGTCCTCGCCCGCACAGTCAAGCAGAAGCCGACTTTGTAAACAAGTCACAACACAGGCAAAAACAGAAGTGAGGTACAGAATCAAATCAGAGGAAGGATTAACTCCAGGGCTGTACAGGAAGTTCAGGGATACATTTATGTAGTCTGAAAAAGCCTTTCGACCTGTTGAATGGACGAATGAATGAAATCTTGCTAAAGAATATGAGATCCCAGGTCCAAATGAGATGTATTAGCTGCTTCTGGAAGCCAGTGGGTAACACGCTACCTTTCAACAACTGCCGGACCGCAGAGTCCGGCTACTCACCGCCGCAGGAAATCACCCTGGAGAAGGGGTCATACCTGTACTGCCAGCCTTTTGCACCGCCACCGCGGCTGCTGCTGTTCTTGTTCGGGGCCACCGCTGTGGCCAGGCCCTCCAGTTTCCCTTCGCTCTCCAAGACTTTCATTGCTGACACTGGTTCACCCCCCTGCATCTTAATTCCAAAGTCCATTTGCCCTTCTCCGGCGGGAGAGCACAACTCTGTAATTTTGTAAGTGCCAGTTTTTAAGATTAGATCTGAAGGTTATTCCAGTTGCTAAATCAGACGGCGGCTGGAGTGGGAACCATCAAGTGGTCCAGGGAAGGAATACAAGCATTCCCACTGAAGGAAAACTTTTAAGAGGACAGGGGTAGCGCTGAGGACAGATATCCTTTAAATATCTATCTCCTTCTCGGCAAAAGCAAGGAGGGAAAAATCACCCAGCCAGGGGACTTGCCGGCATTGTCACAGGAGAAGCAGAAGCAGCGCAGGGAGGTCGCGTGCTCCAGCCAGGAGGGCTCCCGAAGGACGGAGTACCACGGCCCGGCAGCCGCGGCCTGACCTCTGCGCGCTCGGCCCGAGCCGCTGCGCTCCCTCTTCTCCAGCGAGTCCTCGGGGGCACGGTCCCGTCCAGCCCGCTCGGCGGGACCCGCCGCAGCCGCCGAAACAGAGCTGCGGCGCCCGCGCACAGCCCGGGAGGAGGGTGGGCGAAGGAGGCCGCCGGGGGCGGGACGCCGGCTCCCAGGGCCGCCTCTCCTCCGGCCAGCGGCGAGCTGCTCGGGGCGACTTTCTCCAACGCCCGCGGCCCTGGGCCCTCAACGGGGTTCCCAGGGCAGGCAAGTCCCTGTCTCACCCTCCAGCCCCAAACGTGAATGGCACAGCTGCGGCCACCGCCCCACCCACAGCCCCGCGGCGGTCACCCACCCGCCCGCTCCCTCCCCGCCTTCCCTTCCGGAGTAGCATGAGCTCATTTCCCCCAGAGGAGACGCACCTGGCGCCATCTTGGGGCAGGGCACGCGGCCCTGAAGGGGGCGGGGCTTGGGTTAGCGGTGCTGTGGCCGCCGACGCGGAAAAAAGGGAAGGGGACGGGTTGGAAGAGGGGGCGGGATGTGTGACAGCCTGGGAGGCAGAAACAAAGGCGTGCGGAGGTTCGTACCGGCCATCCTGACCAAGTCATGTGCTCCCATCTGAAGGCTCATTCCAGGAATTTTAGGAAGAAAGCTTAGAATGTCATTACTCTATGAAATTACAAAACAAAAAGCACCTTTATATTTTTGCGAACAATGAATGACATTGGATAAGGCAAATCAATGTTTTAAATGAACCAAACTGTTGCAGAAATCAGAGCTCTCAGAATCAAAGTTAGGTATTATTTCTGACCCTAGACAACTCTTTCACCCTCTTGAGACCTGTTTTTGCCGTCTGTAAAATAAGAGTGGTTGACTAGGTGACTTCCAACATCCGTTGTAATTGTAAATTCTAGTTTCTAACAACATGGCCTGTGAATTGAATGTATACCATATGAAAAACACTATGGCAGATGCAAAGAAGTATTACTCAAAGTAAAAAGGGTAAAGTAGTAAAATAAATATGGAATACAGATAATTAAGTCTATGAGGAAACTAAAGGGATGATACAGAAAATACATAGGATGGGATAGAGAACCTACTTTAGAAGAATAGTTGAGGAAAGTCATCTAGGAGTAGAGGACATTTGAAGTGAGAGATGAGAAAGATGAGGAAGCTACGGGAAAAGCAAGCTTTATTTATTCTGGAAAATGAGAGGCCTGGAAGACTGGAGCATGGTGTGGAAGAAAGAGAGAGTGGTATGACACAAAAGGAAAGAGACAGGCAGAGAAATTAAGATTTTATTATAAGTGCAATGGAAAGTCATTGAAAGTTTTGATCAGAGGAGGATTGTGATCTGATCTATGTTTTTAAAAGATCTCTCTAGTCTTTTCAATAAATGGTGCTCAGACACCTGGACATTTAATCCACATACAAAAGAATAAAATTGGATTCCTACCTCACACCATACACAAAAATTAACTAGAAATGGAACAAACATGTAAATAGAAGAACCAAAACAAAACTCTTAAAAACACAGGAGTAAATAAGCATAACTGGGGGTTAGACAAAGCTTTCTTGAATACATTCAAAGTATAAGTTACAAAAGAAAAAAGTTAGATTGGACTTCACTAAAATTAAAAATTTATGTGCTGCAAACAATACCATTAGAAAAGTGAAAAGATAATCCATAGAATGGGAGAAATATTTGCAAACCATATATCTAATAAGGAACCTATATCCAGAATATGTAAAAAGCTCTTACAAGTCATTAATAAAAATATAAATAACCCAATTTAAAAATGGGCAAAGGACCTGACAAGACATTTCTCCAAAGCAGATACACTAAAAATCAATAAGTACATCAAGAGATTCTCAACATCATTATTCAATCAAGGAAACAGATCAAAAACCACCATGAAATAGTACTTCACACCCATTAGGATGGCTAGAATCAAAAGGATAAATGTGGATGGTGTGTGGGAGCTCATGGGGCAGACAGCGTAGCTCAGAGAAGAGAGGTGGTGACTCTGTGGCATCTTACTACACTGATGGACAGTGACTTCAATGGGGTATGGGTGGGAACTCAATAATAAGGGTGTATGTAATAACTACATTGTTCTTCTTGTGAAACCTTCATAAGAGTGTATATCAATGATACCTTAATAAAAAAAATAGATGTGGAGAAATTGGAACCTTCATACACTACCGGTAGAAATGTAAACAGTGGTATATCCATACAAAGGAATATTATTTGGCCATAAAAAGGATGGATTGCTGATACACTAGACAACAAAGACAGACTTTGAAAGCATTATGCTAAGTGAAAGAAGCAAGACACAAAAAAGCACATATTGTATGATTCCATTTATATGAAATGTCCAGAATAGGCAAACCTATAGACCCAGAAAGTAAATTAATGGTGGCCAGGGCTGAAAGAAAGAAGGAATGGGGAATGACTGCTAATGGGTATGGGATTTTTCAAGGGGCAATTAAAATATTGTACAGTTAGATAGTGGTGATGGTTGCATTATCTTGTGGATATACTAAGACCCACTTAATTGAATTATTTAAATGGGTCAATTTATGGTAGGTGAATTATATCAAAATGAAGTTATTTTTTTAAAAACAGATTTTCTAGCCATTATATAGAGAACTGATTTAATTGGGAGAAGAAGAGGAAACAGGGAGGCTAGTTAGGAAGCTATTATAGGAAATGAAGTGAGAAACGATAATGACTTGGACTAGGGTGATGGCAATGAGGCTAGAAAGAAGTAAATGGGCCCAAACTGTATGGTGGGGGAAGGGGAGGCTACAGCACTGCAAAGACTGGATTTGCCATAGTACAGTGATATTCTTACAGGATTCTCCACTTCCAATCTGTTCTATGCATGTCACAGATCACAACTCTGATGGTGCCCCTTTGAAACTCAGAACCCTCCAAAAACTTTTCATTATTTATGGGATAAATTCCAAATTCCTCTGTCCAATCAAAAAACGGTATGAGAGATGTTGAAAGAGATAAAGGATTTAAAGTTATACTTTTATAGTCCAATACTGGGTAAGCTAAAGAGCTCTGTCTAGTCAATGACCAGCCAGCTGTGGAATTAAACCACACAACTCCATGATCATCTAGACTCCAACCAAGGAAAATAAGACTTTTGAGTGTAAGCCATCATTGGAGTGATGACAGGTGTGAAGGAGGAACACGGCAAACCAAGGACACGGGACACATGGAGTTTGGGAGAGGCTTCAGCTTTAGAGATCCAGAAACTATTTCATCTTTTCTCCTAGTGATGATGACACTTGGGGACTGGCTCATGCTAACTCAATACACAGCAAACTGATGTGTACCAACTGGAAAGACAAGTGCTAATTAATAATGAGAAATGCAGTCCAGAGTATTCAAGTTTGAGTGTCAGCACTTTCCGTGCATGACACAAGATAAGCTAAATTATTACCAGAAGATTACATCATGCTAATGGAATCAGAGCCAGGAAAGCTAACCGGTAAATGTTTTATTTTAATTTTTTTTTGAGCAAAAACCTTTTTGTTGTAAATAGGGTCTGAGTCTGATTTTTTCATTCAATGTCTAAGGAGAAAGGAGGGCATATGATTTGAACAAGGAAGGTACATAAATGTACTGTTTTGAAAAATATACATCTCTGTGAGGAGTTTAAGGTACAGTTCCCAGCATTCTGGCTGGATAATAGATCAGTGCATCCTTCCATATGGAAAGAGGCTGCATAGCATAGTGGTGAGGAAGATGGGCTTGTGTCAGACTGCCAATAACAGGATACTGAATTCCACTGCATGTGACCTTAGGCAAGTTACCTAAGCTCTTTGTATCTGTTTCTTTACCTGTAAAACGGGCGTAGCAGTAACACCTCTGCTATAGATTGAATTGTGTCCCTCTAAAATTTATATGTTGAAGCCCTAATCTCCAGGGTGATGGCATTTGGAGATGGGAACTTTGGAGATAATTAGATTTAGATGAAGCTGGGGACCCTATTGATGGAAGTAGTGCCCTTATAAGAAAAGACATCAGAGCAAGCTCTTCCCCTGCCCCCTTTCTGCTCCCCTGCCAGGTCAAGACTCAGGGAGAAGGAGGCCATTTACAAGCCAGGAAAAGAATTCTCACCAGAAATCAACCATGCTGGCACCTTGATTTGGGTTTCTAGCTCCAAAAGAGTGAGATAATAAATTTCTGTCCCTTAAGCCTCCCAGTATGTTGTATCTGTGATGGCAGCCAGAGCTAAGACAATCTCCCTTTTGAGTGGTTGTCATCATTAAATGGAATAACACGTGTAAAGCACTTAAACCCATGTCTGACACATGACATGGTAAATGCTTAGCAACTGTTACCCATTGTTGTTAGAAGGATACAGTTTACCTGACAAGTAAAATGAATGGTTGTACCCGGTGAGGGTATCCTTCCCTTGACGGCTCTGAAGACGCTCGAGCCAGCATATTTCTGAAGACATCCAACATATTTCTGTGAGAGAATGCTGCCAACTTTGTCTCCATGAAATGGAGTTTTCAAAGAGACCTGTCAGCGTATGTGAATGTAGAGTCCTAAGAACATTACCTGGAATCACCAGCTAGTGAGTGTCAGTGTGAAAATGCAGGAGCATAGGGTGACTGCTGCTTCAGCACCACCACGAAGACTTCCCTGAGCACTCACTCTCTCCAGAGCAGCAGCCGCTCCCCATTACTCTTTATCCCTTTACCTTGTCTTATTGTCTTCACAGTGCCTGACATTACAGGCTTTGCTGTGCACATCCTGTCTCCTCACTAGAACATAGGCTGCATGAAGAAAGAGTCAATTCTTTTTTTCCCACTCTGTATTCCCGGTACTTGAACATTGCCTGATTTGCATTGGTTGAATGAGTGAATGAACTTCCTGCAGTGGTTAAGAGCATGAACTCTGGCATTTGCCTCCAAATCTTGGCTCTGCCACTTAATTGTGTTTGATCTTGGGCAACTTACTTACCTTGGTGACCCTCAATTTTCTCATCTGTAAAGTGGAAAAATGATGAAATAAGAAAATACATAGAAAAGTGCTCAGCACAGTGCCTGCCATCTAGTCAGTGCTGAACATAGGCTGGCTGTTTTCATTTTCTCTTTCTACCCCTGACTTGCAGGGGAGGGATGGGTGGTTTATTTCCCTGAAGCACAAGTGACCTGCTTTCTCTATGATCCTGCAGCTATGGCAGCTGGAATGAAGAGACGACAGGCCACCGAGAGGCAGGGACAGGGTAGCGGGGAACAGTACAGATCCAATGAAAGCCGCTGTGAGAATAAGGCTGTGGACCCACAATTTCTTTTTTTTTTTTTAAAAAAAAAGGGAAGG